ATTTAGTAAAAACTAACGACGATCGGTACAAAAAAATCCAAAGCAGGGAAGATATACTGTATTCTGTCAAATAAATTTTATGGCTTGACGAGAGAATAATTTCGAAAAGTATGTTGCGGTGTAGCTAAAAGGATGGATATTGAACAAAGGTTTTACGAAGTTAGTCAAACTGTGAGAAAAGATTAAAAAGGCCGAAGCTATTAGTATTAAGAGAATGCTCAGATTTAACAAGACTGAAGGAAAGCTTTTTTTTTGATAATTTGGAGAGATTGATGACGCAACACCACTTCGAACTTACGATGATTTACAATATAGACGAGACTGCTATAATGACCGTTCAAGAGACTGAAAAAATTATTGCTCCCAAAAGGCAAAAACGCGTTGGATCTGTCAAAGAGGTAAGAACGTCACAGTTATATGTGCTATGAGTGCTTCAGGGTCTTTCATTAAACCACTTTTCCTATTTCCACCAAATCTCACTCACCACGGCTGGAAAAAGACGGACCTCACGGAACTGTTTACATATGTGCTCATAATGGCTGGACCAACGAAAATACTTTATTTTATGGCTACGTCATTTTATTAAACACACCAAACCTACTGATGATACTGTCAGGGCTTCTGACACCAGGCAGTCTTTTCTATGTGTTTGCCGACACAATAACAATTTCTTAATAATAAAAAGGGCGAGCGAAGTAAGTTAAACTAATTTATTTGTCCCTTACTTTGGTACAGTGATGGTTGTACAATGTTAAAATTAAAGGTTCTGATTAAGTGAAGGTCTAAACTGCAACTGACTGACTAACTGACTTGAATATGTTTTTAAATATACAACTGTTTTTACCCCCAAGATGCTTTTAGACATTTTTTACATACGGTATTCGTTGAGACATAGAAAAATAAGGTTGAGAAGNTTATATTACCGAAACTAATAAATAAATTATTTGGCCTTTTTTTTCTTAAAAATTGTATCACTAGTAATGATACCTTTTCGATACAAATATGAGACGTTGCCAAGTTGAGTAAAGCGACGCAGTAGGTCAATTTTTTCGCTTATGTGCATGGGAGGCGGGACAAAAAAGCGTAGTGCTGGTCAACTAATTCTTACACTACTACTACTATAGGTACTATTATACCTTGCTATAGCTAATTGTTGCTTTTATGAAAAAAAAAAAAACAACGCCAGAGAATATAAAGCAGCGCATTACAGAAGCTTTAAGAATCATAGTTCCAAGATCCATAAATGTTGGCCAATATTGCTGAAGACATAGAATAGGTAATACGTTTATGCTTAGAATCAGGCAGTGGTCATATCGGACGCATGCTATGTGGTAGTATTATTTGTTGTATTTCCATTAATCTTTCGCTTTCCTCCTCCTTTAAGCTGGTCCACAAATCTTAAGTTGGTAATGTTATTCAAATTTTTTTGGTTTAGATTCTCATAATACACCAAAAGTAATAATAATAGTTTGGTAGTAGTACAAAGAGAAAAAGGGATAACTATTTGGTAAATGGGTCATCTAACCTATTTCACTTATGATTAGATTTTATACGTTGTTTTGGGGTTAGTATTAAACAACAGTGTGTTGATATTTCTCAGATTAGTCTGTTGATAAAAAGCAATCTTTATATTTTATGTTATTCACCATGTTATAACGCCTACTGTCATCCTGTCGTTTAGTCTTTCAATGTTAAAATTCTTCAATATCCTAGCATATCTTAAAAATCGTTTCTGAACCTTTTCAATCATATTACAGTTTACGACAGTTTTTGATGTTAAATTCACTGATGTGGTCATACTAAACTATTATAAAGTTCATACATAAATCTTTTGTATTTCTTATTATAAACCTCAAGGCCCTATATGCTTTTTTTTACTATTTGTTGACAATGGATATTAAATTTCAAACCAATCTGAAAGCAAATTCCAAGGTCCAATTCAGAAAACCACGAAAGCTTCTTGGACAGCTGATACATTACAAAATGCAGTCAATATTCTCAGAGCAGGAGGCATTTCGGTGTACAAAGAATCTTAACAAATACAAAGAATCATAGCAAACTGTCATACCTTACGGCACTTTAAAGAAGAGATTTAATTTAGTAAAAACTAACGACGATCGGTACAAAAAAATCCAAAGCAGGGAAGATATACTGTATTCTGTCAAATAAATTTTATGGCTTGACGAGAGAATAATTTCGAAAAGTATGTTGCGGTGTAGCTAAAAGGATGGATATTGAACAAAGGTTTTACGAAGTTAGTCAAACTGTGAGAAAAGATTAAAAAGGCCGAAGCTATTAGTATTAAGAGAATGCTCAGATTTAACAAGACTGAAGGAAAGCTTTTTTTTTGATAATTTGGAGAGATTGATGACGCAACACCACTTCGAACTTACGATGATTTACAATATAGACGAGACTGCTATAATGACCGTTCAAGAGACTGAAAAAATTATTGCTCCCAAAAGGCAAAAACGCGTTGGATCTGTCAAAGAGGTAAGAACGTCACAGTTATATGTGCTATGAGTGCTTCAGGGTCTTTCATTAAACCACTTTTCCTATTTCCACCAAATCTCACTCACCACGGCTGGAAAAAGACGGACCTCACGGAACTGTTTACATATGTGCTCATAATGGCTGGACCAACGAAAATACTTTATTTTATGGCTACGTCATTTTATTAAACACACCAAACCTACTGATGATACTGTCAGGGCTTCTGACACCAGGCAGTCTTTTCTATGTGTTTGCCGACACAATAACAATTTCTTAATAATAAAAAGGGCGAGCGAAGTAAGTTAAACTAATTTATTTGTCCCTTACTTTGGTACAGTGATGGTTGTACAATGTTAAAATTAGAGGTTCTGATTAAGTGAAGGTCTAAACTGCAACTGACTGATTGACTGACTTGANAAGTGAGTGGACAATCATTTGGAAGTGAAGGTGTTAATGCGTAATTAATAGTGTCAAGTGATTGTATTAGTGCCTGATGCTAATTACTTCACGCCTCAACTAGATTACATCTCACCTTTCACCTTATTACTGATGAGTCCGGAGTCTCATTAAAACTGCCCTGGTGTCAGAAACGATTAAAAATATATCACCAATCACTTTTTGTCGTTGCCTCCAGCCAGGTATCCGACAATATATATAAATATAAATCTACCTAATTCCTAATAAAAACAAAAATTATTTAAAAATGCGTAAAACTATTTTCTATTAATCTATTAGTTTTACTACGGTAATTCAAGAAAGTGAAAACAACTGATTACTTTAAAATTTTAGGAATTATATTTCAAAATAGTCATGCGTAGATGACGATCGTCTTGATCTAGCATGAGACAGAGATGGAGTTGATTCTCGACTGGTTCGTTCGTCGTCGATTTCTTCTTCAATCTGGCTTAATCTCGTTAGCCGAACTAATTGTCTATCATTTAATTCATATCGCTCGTTGTGGTTGGTAATGCTAATATTGGGAATTCCGTAACAGTTTTTGCACTTTTTAAAGAATTTGCCGATCACAGGCACACGTGATAGGTTGCAACAACTGTACATTATTAATATTACACATAATATGAACAAAACTCCGATAATAGTTGAAAACCACGAACCATGTGATAGAGAAAAAGAGTGGTTGATGTTGCTATCGAGGACGGTTTCAAAATGTTCCAGCCTATGTTGAGAATGTCTTAACTCATCAAGATTGAAGTTTTTTAAATCGATTGGTTCCATAAAAATTTCACTTTGATTTAAAAATTCTCTCTGTTTGACACAACAGTCATCGGTGAGAAGATCAATATTTGGAATGAGGTACCTTTAGTGAAATGCTGTTAATTATTCTTAAATGTGGCGTATTGTTTATTCTTGTTGATAACAAAATTTATGCTTCATTTGCACAAAAAAATTTTTGGGTCTGCGGAATGACACCACGCGTCGCCCCGCAACTGCCTAATTCGTCCCAGCATGTATTTTTTGTAGGTACCAATGAAATAATTAACCATTTATTGACAAGAAATTTGGTCACTACTGCTTGCCTAACAACGTCACAGTAAGCCTAATTTAATAGGTTTGATATATTTTGTTTGAGACAGTTTTTTATAGTTAGATTTAGGCTGGGAGCAGCCGACAAATACCCCCATTCGAAGAATAAGTTTCATTAAATGCCAGAATCAAATATTGATGTAACGAGTTTTTATGTGGATAGGCATAACATGGTGCGTCGACCGGCCAGCTTGCTCCTTTCTGTCTCCGTTCTCTACTGTCCTGCATAGCACATATGTAATGTGATTATACTATAACTACCTTAATTAAGAACTCAAATCACGCAATTGTTTGTAAAATACTAGAAAATCTGATAAGCGTGGTCCTCAAAGTTCAAACGTATTTTGTGGGAAAGATGCGATATTTGTTCTCAAGCTAACGTCTCTTCGTGTGCAAGCCAAGCGAAAACGGGCTACAGCAATATGTTTATCAAGGTGACTTAAGTTATTGAAAAAATACTAATTCCATACTATTGGTAATAAAAAAAAAACGCAAACTATAATCGATCAAATGATACTGAATATCAATGAAACAGAAAAAAAAACGAAAAAGTTTACTTTTATACTGAGTTAGATTGGGAACGAATATTTATATAATTTTTTAGAAATAAACAAAAGATGAACAGTCTGTTGATACTGATGAACAATTACGAACAAACGAATAGAGACAACACACACAGTTTTACCCGTCTTTACTTCCACTTGAAATACCTACCAAAATGACCACATGCTGGTGAAAACATGAAATTAGTGTATGCATTATCGGAAATATGGAACAGAAAATAAAGGGATCCCATCTATTCCTCATTTTATTTTGAACATTAATTAAATATAAATTTGGATTTTTAAAATAATCTATCCTTTTTGCAGCTAATATTCAATATCTCAAAACACGACTGCTCTTACAATTTTTCATTTGCAATTTATTTATGAGTAAATTTTTCTCCATAAGTGAAATCCTGGTTAATCATAAATTATGCCACATTTATTTTTCCAAATGTTAAATTACATTAATTTTATAATTTTACATGCACATAGTCACTCAGCTTAATTAATTGAAAATAAACATAATTATAAAAAGAATTTTCTTCTGCTTGTTTCCATTGAATGCCGTCTTCCCTCAATTATCCATTCATATTGACCATATTTACTATCAAACGTTCCCTTCTGTAGTGATTTAAGTTTTAAAGTAAAGCGAGGCCCCAATTCTTTTAATCTAGCTTTTTTACCTTCAGGCGTAAAGGTGTACCTACAATTGAAATTTAATTTAATTAAAAATAATAATTTATTAGTCTAACATACATATAGTGCCTAAAGAAAATGTAATCCCTTTGATTATGAAATGTCACAACTCTTTTTCCTTCAAACTCTGGAGTATAATGGAAAAGAGCACACAACATACGCCCGATGGTTAATCCTAATCTAGTGGTAAAATTGTTTAAAATAACCTCAGGTCGATGCTCTGTAATATTTTTATGACTTTTTCTCATTTCGGTTGTTATTCTAACATTACTAATTCTAAAGTAAGCAGTTGGACCATCTGGTAAATGTATCACTAAAAGACCATTAGGTTCCTTGCGATTTTCGTTTACAATTAAAATATCTGTAAAATTTTCTTTATTTGCACTTTTAACAATTTTTTTTACTCCAGACCTGTTACGGTAAAGTGAAGTAGAATTCGGAATTATCCTGGTGAGTTCTCTTCCAAATATTCTAGTTTTTTTAGTAGGATTATCAGAATATGTAATCAATACTTTTGGTTCATACGCTTTTTTATAATATCCGCTAAATTCATCTTGTTCTAAATCAGTAGCAATCACTTCATTTTCTTGAGATGTTAAGTCTCCTATAACAGTTTCATCTTTTTCCCTTAAACTTTCTATTGTATGTGGAATTCTTGCTGGTTCTCCTTTACTTTTTCTTTCAGCTTTTTCTCGTTTCTTTAGCTGCAAATTAGATATAAGTATCTCAAAACTACATATTTATTGTTGTACAAACTAATTAAGATTCGAGAAATTTAGTTATTCATGCCATGTATTTCGCGATTTTGATGCTCCCATGAAATAGGAATACACAATAACATAAAAGTTACTCATGACATTGAGATATCCTTTGAACTGTTTTAATTATGAAAAAACTAAGCCACCATAATAAATAAAAATATTATTAATTTCAAACATAATGGCTGCATAATTGATGATTTGGTTCCCAAAAATAAAGCTCTACAAAACAAATGCAATAAAATGACTAACTGTGTGCTTAAATAATGACTAAAGGGTATGTGTATTTGGGTTGGTACAGATGCAGATTGTTTGATGAATTATTCAATTTAACATGGCTCACAAATGTTGCCTTTACTACCACAGTAAAAAAAATACAAAAATAAATTGTGCTGAAAACCACGAAATTGAAAATTGTGAAAATGCATTAGTTAGCTGCGCATACATGTGGATGCTAATATAAGGTTTAATTTGACTCCGAATGCTTAACATAAGACAAATGACATCAGAAAATGTAGTTTTTATAATACGTTGTTTAAAATATATATTCATAATACTAATTATTCCTATATTCCTATTTCGTCCAGAGGACTTGATAACACAGGAAAATCGATTAAGAATTTAACACATTTTTGATATATAGTAAATGCAGACAAAAGTATTTTAATGTAAATATATGAAAATATATTTTCCGGTCTTCTCAATTTTCACTAGTTAACTTTAAGCAAGAGAAGACGGGCTGATGTCAAAGCTCACTCACATCTTTTGAGATACGATATGGAAACCAATTTACTGTTATTAAATTTTTATAAAGCTAACAGTACTTCTGTGAATCTGCGTACTATTTCGCATGTATCAAAAATTACCGATTTCTGTAGACTGAGGTATGTAAGTTTATGCAGTTTCAACTCTGCTAGGCTAGCATTCTATGCTATTGATGTTACTATGTTCTGATTTCACATTTCTTTTATTTTATCAGCCAAAGGAATTTATTTTTGACTTTTGTTAATATGTTTCTGTTTAAGATTTTCCGCGTTGGGTACAGAAACATCTATTAGGTAGGTCTTCGATTAATGCCTTATTATCCCAGGATTCATCATACTGAAGGTTTTTAAATTACAACAGATTGATGCCTGCTCTTCCTTCTTCTCAGCAGATGAACAATGTTTGCAGTTTTCCACGCAAGGTCTCCGGGATAGTTCATCAGTAGCCACTTTAGGGAGGCGTGATCCATTCTAAAGAGGAACTTCTGTCCATACAGGAACTTGTGGAAATGTTCGGTGGTAGTAATCACAGTCAGTAGCTCTCGGTGGATGACACCATAATTTTGTTTTGGCTTCGAGAGTGTTTTACTATAGTACCTGATGACATTTTCTTTTCCATTTTGTACTTGAGATAACACACCATCTAGTCGCACATTACTAACGTCGGCATCAACGATAAAAGGTTTGCTGAACTGTGGGTACATCAAGATCGAGATCCAGAGAGCGTAATCTCCAGATATTCAAATACTTTTTGGCATTCGGGTGTCCAGTGGAATAAAACTCCATCTTCTGTTTATATAGTGGTTGGGCTATACCGGCAAATGTCCTTATAAATCTTCGGTAGTAGAAGCAAAGTCCCACATTTTCCAGTTTAATCCTTGTAATATAGTGTCCATAAGTCTTTCGAATGTGGCCGGTACATTGCATAATCCAAATGAAATCACACTGAACACTAATGGATAGCTGTTCTTCAGCGTTACGTCATTCAACTTTCTGTAATTCACACAAAATCTTGTGAAATCATCCTTACGTGTGCTGGTAAAGCCCAAGACCTTGGAATGATTCTATTATCCCTTGCTTATGCATTTTAACTTCTTCTTGCTTTGTCCAGAAAACTCTTCAGGGTGGTTGTTTAATAGGCCTTAATAGGTTGTTTTATAGTACATTTTGAGCAGACAATTACTAAAATTTTAATTGCTTAAGCCTATAGTGACTATGTTTATCACATATTACAAATTCATCAATAATGACTCCCAGTTATTTAAGGTGGCTAACTCATTGTATAAGTTCATTGTACACATTTATTACTATAATAGATTTAGGGGTCTCATATCAATTCTAGAAGTAACGGGTACGTATTTAGTCTGGGCGAAGCTAGAAAAAGAGATGCAGACAAACATAATTTTGCATACCTAAGCAACCTGTAACCGCTGCACCACTTACTACTATTCGCTTATCTCTTTTTACTTTGTATGTACTACTCGTGAAGCATTTCCTAACTTAACAAGGGTGTGTTTAAAAGGCAGCAAATGACTACAGTCCCAAATAGAAACAAGAAAGACTATACGTCCATTCTCACAGATAATTTATTGCGGACTTTACCAATTCTGATCGTCCCAACTATAGAATTCGATTAAATTTTGTTTTTTCAAGTCGTGCTATTCCCTGTGTATCAAATAAATTTATTTAGTGTGAATTAGTTGGTTTTTATTATTTTTAAAAACGAATTTTGTCGGTTTCGCATCTTAACTATATATACAGGTACCGATATATATATATTATTACAATGAAAGAAACGTATGATTAGATTAAAAATAAACATTCGATTGCAAAAGAGTTAGATGATAAAAAAAGGAAAACGATAAATTGAAAGTTGAAATCTTCATTAATAGTATGCGTGTGTAAATGTATAGTATTCTTTTCTTGTATATGTGCGATGTTGCCACGTGACTATACTTTTTATTGTAAAAAAATGAAAATCATCATTTTTCGTATTATTTTTTGTTTCTCACGAACAGGACAGAAAGTTTCTGTAACCTTTTAGAATGTTTCAAAAACGCTTTTTACATAGTATAAAAAGTTTTTTATTGCCGCAAAACTTTTTTTTAACAATAAAAAACTCCGGATAAAGGTGTATCTAAGACTTATAATTAACATATTGAAATTTTATTATTATACGACTTTTTTTAAGTAAACAACCTCCTTCAAGTAAAATGGTCTAAATTATGTTTTTACTAAAATTGGCTCACTGTTTGTCAACATTTAGTTAGTTTTCTTTGTATATAACCGGCTCAACTAGGGAAACTTGGAGGATTGATAGAATGCATATTGGAGCCCCGGAGTGAAGTTTGGTGCTACCTTGCCTATCTCCTGGCTGTTTTTAGTTTATGAATCATTCTAAGATACAAAAAGCTCAATTTTAAATTCCAGAACCAAACTATTATTTGTCATTTAACTGGAACTACCATCCTGCCCTCATCTGACCAAAAATTTCCAGCCCCTAAGTGGCATAACAGCTTATTTCAGATCGGTATAGTCTGAATTTGACTGTGTCCTTATAGTTCCCTTCTTTAATGGACTCTGATTATAATTAACAACAATCCCATCATTTTGCATAGTCACTCCAGTAATTTAAGAGGCTTTTGTGTTATGTATGTAAATTTTATTTATTTTATAATATATACTTTTTCAAAAATTTTATTTTCTTTTTCACTTTTATTGGGTTAAATGAGTAAATTTATTTGTGATATTAAACAATCATTTTTGGAATTCTCTAATCCATGACAGTTATTTCACAATCTCAAAAAACTTTCATGTGCATAAGATATAATTATATTGTACTTTATGAAAGCATTCAGTTGATTGTTAATCATCTGTCTCGCTATATAACTACGACTAGATCTTCCTATCAACTGTAAACATGAAGAGGTTGAAATATAGAAATCAATATCCAATGGAGTTTTAACACTGCATAACCCAAGGCTTTGTGACAATTTCAACACCTCTACTACTAAATTTTAAAATAAGTAACCGTTTAATAAATAAAAAAACTACATAATTTAAGAAACTGTCAAATAATTAGTAAAATATTTTGGTTTAATATGATCAACTACATTAGATTTGTCAGTACACTTACCTTCTTTTTTTCTTGTTTTAACTTGTGATATCTCTGATTTCTTAGATGCTTATTCTTTATATGACCATACTTATTTAAGGAAGGTAATTGTACCTCCCCGCTTTTCGACGGCCTTAATTCGTTTTGTAAAGCCTCCTTTGTTTCTACATCCATTTCTAAATGTCTACTGAATCTAAGGAATAAAGTTTATGATTTAATCATTCTGACAACCTCCTTAGTAGTTAAAAGGGTTAATTTACATGCAATTAGCATGTGCACTTCCAAAAATTGTAAAAAAAGTTGACGTGCAATACATTAAACACAACTTTCGATACTATTTTAAGGCTTTACATTAGGAAAGAATTAAAATACTAATTCATGATAATATTACAAATATACTATTGTAAAAAGAACAGTAAAAAGTACTATGACAAATACGTACAAATGCAGTTGTTATAAATAAACAGTAAACACATGCGAGCACGGAAAAATGCATGAAACCATTATGTTTGGTTATATTGATTGCAGTTGACAGCATCGACGTTTACTAATATATGTCTATGGTTGACAGTATATATTCCTTTAATCTATGATCGTACTCATTGAGTGCACCTATTGCATCATAGGTGGGAGTTTTCACACAAAGTGACTTAAAGCTACATGGGGTGTTCGTTGGAATACGATAGTTCAAAATATATTCAGTAGGTGGTGTAAAAGATTACACTAGTGATTTTTTAAGAAGTTATCGTATGTATGTTTTCATGCAAATATTTAACTAATTTAACATAATATTCTCCGTATTCCGCGTATTCCAAATGACACATCTATGATAATGTTACATGACAGTAGTTTGCATGTGATAATATATTGGTTAGTAAAAACTATATCAAGAAAAATAATAAAAACTATTTGCTTGTTGTAATGTAATTTACTAAATATTATCGGTAAAAGCAGGATATTTAACATAATCATTTCACAAATTTATAAATTATTTAAAAATTCATTCTATATTATAAAACGAGACATTCAAATTCTGAAGGTAAGTGATATTCAATTGACATTTTCGTCACAAGAAAAAATTAATTTTCTCACCTTCAAGAATATATATTTATTTATTTTGTAAGAAAAACTCTTTTTTGGAACAATTATAATCTTTACTAATTACTTTATTTGTTTGAATAAAAATAAAAGAAAACAACGTCTGCTTTTGTTCAACGCTATTTACAGAATACCCGATATATCTTTTTTTTAATCCATAAGTCTCGAGTGTGTCACGTTAAGTTTCCTCAGTGGG